CCTCCTCCGAGTTTGGGGGGGGGTTTCCCCTCCCTGTTGCTTTCCGACTGCAAACTTATTGCAGGATTTGAGGAAATCGATGGAGGTAAATGATATCGCAGCGCATAGCTCACCCCTGTTTACCCTGTCTTTATAAAAAACGTGCCTAATGTGCTAGTTGCTTTGGTGTTTTAACAGCAAAGTGGAGTTTGGGGTGTGAATAGCCCTACATACAAAAGGGAATGGCTTAAGCTGTAAGTAGCTTGAATTTTACTGTGTTTCTCCTTAATGCTGGTTACTGAGTTAAGTAAGATACCAAATACAGTATGTCTAATCTAATTGGAGCAATAGAAACTACCAGTCAGAACCAAGAGCACAGCAAAAATCAAGCACTGCAGATGTTTTATTACTAGGTTTATTATAAAATGTGCAAACAGTCAGTAGTCCCATGTTGCTCTCCGCAAATTAGTGTGGCAAGTTTTACAACGATTGGATTTGGCTTTCAGTTTTAAACAGATCAGGAAGGCATAGGGCTGAATGGGATGTGCTGGTATCACTAGCAGCTTTAGGGTGTAATCTTGTTTGGAAATTGATCCAACTCATGTTGAAATCCAGCCTTGAAGAAAGTAAGGGCTGCAGGCCTTATCCCTTCCTCTGCACCTCCTTACTATGTCCTATGGCTATACAGATGCATTTCTTATTTTTATGATATGAAAAATTGATGTGGAAACAGTGAAATGAGGAGAACATAAATGCTAAATGCCATTGATAGTACAATGCTTGGTAACTCTTCTGCTCCTTTATCCTCCTTCAGTAAGTGCTGACTTGTTTCTATCAGAAGTTAATAATGGTTTCACTTTGGGAGTGAATGAATGTTGAGTCTTGATATTGTTGGGTTTTTTCTTCTAAATTTCAAGTAGAAAGAGAATTGCAGGAAAACCACACCATGTTAATAGCAGATGAAAAGAGTGTATTTTCAGCTTTTACTGACTATGATTGAAACGTTCTGTTATTAGCTTTTTCAAAATTACTGGTGTCAATAGAGTAACTTGATACTGTGCTAGACGTGTAAGCAATACCTTGGTGAAAATTGTTAGTTTTGTGTTTGCTGTTATTTATTTACCTACACTGAAAAGCTGCAAGAGTGAAGTTCTGGTAATTTGTAATTACTGTCTAACTGAATGGTTAAGACAGTAATTTTGGGTAAGTCAGGAAAAGGCCACTGCTAAAACAATGGTGAAGAACCAACCTGGCTGGAGAACTTTTCTTCCTGAATTACAAAGTAGTTACACTAAACCTGTCTCTCCAGCGAGCCTTCCACTAGCTCAAAAACCGTATCAGCTGACTGAATGGTAATCAATGACTATGCAGTTTGGGTGATAAAGTGTCTGCTCATATATAATCCATGAAGTTCTGTATTTTGATCAGACTTTGCTGGACAGCTATAAAGAAGGTGCTGGGGCAGAAAAACACAGTGTAGATGAAGCCGCCTTTGGCTTACTAACTTTGGCCATTGTCCTCAGAGCAAAGAAATAATATGTAATCAGAAGCTTATTGTGTTTCTTTTAAGTGCTAAGCTTTGGTTCAACAACATCAATGATTTTTCTTTTAAATAAAGAGAAAACCTGGTAAACAACAATTTTCACATTAAACAGGATATAATTGAAAACAACTTAGAGATATGAGAAAACATTTATAGCTGAACTGTTTTTCCATCTCATATGAAACACTGTGTTCACACCTGGTCCTTGAATTGAATTAAAATAAAAATTTTTAAATTAAAATGTAAAATAAAAGTATTTAAAAATATTAAAATAATTTGCCTAAGTAAAACATGAACTTATTGCTGGACTTGGTACATAATGTAGTTAAACAGCATCTTGAAAATCATATATTAAATCACCTTCTGAAATCAGTCTTGCAAAACTCTTTTGAGTATCTGTGAGACCAACCACAGAGGCCGGGTGACTAGCTGCTTCTCTGCTACCATCCTACCTTCTTCGTGGGCATCATGGTTCTGTACTTGCTGCTAAAACTTCTGAGAGATACAGGTACATAATACTTTGGAAAGTCAGATCATGCACTTTTGATGCAAGTACTTTTTCTTAAGATGAATTCTCTGTACAGGATGCTTAGAAGAAAGATTAGCTCTTCTAATGCATTTCTTGCAAGGGATGGTTGGGAGGGTTTTTTTAAATTCCATAATCTCCTGTACTAAAATGAACACCTGTCACATGCCGAAACATTACTTATCTAATAAAATCTCATGGTACTAAGGAAACAAAACAAAACGTGGGTTTCTTTTGTCCAAGAGATTATGTCAGTGTCTCTGAAACTCAGAGGTACTAGTATAGTCATTGCAGATGAATAAAATTGATAGCATCATGAGAATTGCGACGTTTTAGTCAAAAGGATGAAGTAGGTGTGATTGTTCAGTGGTTTTGCTGTTTTTCTGAGGAGAATTGTCTTCAACATGCATTTTGCCTTCCTTCACTTCAGGAGTTAAACCATCTGAATTTTTTTTTTTTTCTTATGTGGTCCAAGAGAGGACTTGCTTACTACAAATGAGATGATATAATAATGAAGTTTTGGCCCTGGGACTATAATCTGGAATGGACACCGTACAGTGCTTATCAGTGGGTGTAAACTGCAAGATATAAAATGGAATTGATTGTTTTATTCATTCAAATGGAAACGTTTTAGAAAATCAAGCTTAACAGCTGTTGTCTCTAGTACTTTAAACTATGGAAAAAATGCATAAAATTTGATTTGTATTTTGTATCTTCTTGGTCAGTGGAAGCAAATGGAGACATATGTGGAGAACAGTGTAAAAAGTACTTGAGAGAATACTGTATGTTCAGGATAGTGTTTGAAATTGGAAGTTTTAATAGACCAACATTAAAAAGTATGCAAGACTAGAATGCTGCTGAACTAGAACAGGTCATCAGATAAACAAATGGAATGAACCAGAGTTTGTTGCAATGCACTGCAGCCTGTGTACATTAAAATTTTAGTTTGGAGTAAAAATGTACTTAGAAACTGAATCTTCTGATCACCCCCACTTTACTGCCTTTGATTTGTGTTGCGTAGCTGTCCCAGAGCATGCAAGCTGGATTCCTTTTGGGTTAAACTGCACAGGAAAATAGGCTAAAAAAGCACATCAAATATATGTCCCTAGGACAAGATTAAAGCTGGTCTGAAGTAAACACTTGAAATCCATATGATATGGATGCAGGTTTCACTCAGCAGATCTGCTCTTAATTGTCTTGCATTCTGCTTATATAGCTGTAGCTTTTACTGTGGGTCCTAGTCAGAGAAAGTTTTCAGGTAATTCACTTTCTTTTTTTACTCTTCAATTCTGTGGGGAAAAAACAAAAGAAAAGAAAGAGGAGGAGGGAGAAAGTTTGAGATATTGAACCTTCTGCTTCTAAATCTTTGAAGACAAAATTATTTTTTTTCCTGATCTATATGTAATATACCTTTTGTTAAAGTTCTAAGTTTAAATGCAAACCATGTTTCAATATATTTACTGTTTACACCACCAAGTGAGAAGATTGTACTTAATTTTCTAAAAAGTTACTATTTTAACCGGTGGACTTTTCTTTCTGTTTTTTTATCCCTGAAGTTCAAGTTTCTTTCCATCTGCAATGCAGATGCAATTTCAAAAATCTAAGGCATGTTCCCTTATTCTACAGTGCATATGAACTAAAGATGACATAAGAGTATTATATAATTCATCAGTTTTGGCTGACCATTAGGTTGTTGCAGTAACATCAAATTATGTTAGCCTATAAGTCTTAATTTTATTTTTAGATATTTTCTTTAGTAAAACTAAAATAAGTGACAGCAGTTATTTAAATGGCTATTAAAATCATTACTTAAATATTTTAAATGAAGCCATTTGGCTTTTTTTCCCCTTTTCTGTTCAACTTAATACAAATTGACTTTTTATGAGTTTGTAACCTTTGCCAGTCTTGGAATATAAAATGGTTCACGACACCATCAAATCAGAGATGTATATCAAAAGTTTGTGGTTTCTGGGAAAATACCATTCTGTCTTGCAAAGTACTGGCAACTCAGGAGAAATGCCTGAAGCATTTAGAGACTGATATTTATGTTTGGAATTGTTTAGCTATTTATTTAGACCTCATGAAATAGCTAAACATCCAGCATCTGAAAAGTGAGTTAGCTCTCATGATAGGAAGCTTTTCAGTGTACTCTGAAATTTGCAAATTTAGACTTTCATGTGAAGATGAAAAAAGCTCAAATAAGGTAGCCTGCGTGGTGTCACAAAGAGAAGACCTCAACTGTGAACAAAGTGCAAATTGAGAACTACTGTCTCTGTAAAGTATACAAACATAAAGCTGCAGTGAGGCTATTACTTCCTGAGGCTGACATGAAAATCTCTCTATTACGCTTATCTCATTTCATTGTTGCTTTTTAAAATCCTGTTGTCAGCAGTCAATCTGGTAAGAATGAGATGACTTTTATCTTTGAAGCTTCTTGGGACAGGAATGGAGGCTTCTGAGCTGGTGGTTGCACTGGTCAGTGGTCCTCCCTGCCCTTTCTGTGTAGATAAAATACATGTGACTTTAGGCAACGAAAATATATAGTATGCAAATGTTAAAAAAACCCCAAACCAAAATGTAACTTTTACATATGAAAGTTTGGGGATACTTCTATACTATTAAGGCTTAAGTAGAAACATTGAGTGGGGTGAGACTTTTAGTGAATAGTACTTCTGTTGATAAGTTAGTTACCAAAACCACTTTCTGTGGCTGCTTAAAATAGTTAATGGAGAATGGACTGAAATTACCTTCTGCTTCTCTTCACAGGCTGAAGAACAATGGCTTCCTTCAGCAACCTGACTATTGGCATTGCTGTTGCCAGTTTTACTGTATTTCAGCTCCTGTTCCATGTTTTAAGTTCTTGGGTGTCAACACGAATAACACCTGGTTTTAACAATCTCAGCCAAAAAAGGAAAATCGAATGGAATTCAAGGTAGAGTGTTCAAAACAAACTACAGCTAATGACCTACCTGAAATTGTCAACATATGAGCCACCTGGGTGTGTATATATAAAACTGTAGAAAATGTTATCAGTTAAACATATGTAAATATTAGGGGGACAGCTGTAGGCATTAGACAAATTCTGAATGTAAAATGCTGAGGCCCCTTCTTGAACGTTGAGCATTACAAACACTTGTACATTAAATGCTTTGTTAGACAGTGATGCCCAAGTGAAAGTCAGTAAAAAAAACAGTGACTGGTGAGAGGTAATAAGCTGAAGTGGATTAATTTTAAATGGCTTCTCTGTGACTCTTCTAGTAAAGAGAAGTACAAAATTCCCTTCCCCTAAACATACGTGAGAATCAAAACTATTGCAATCTATTTCATGATCTAAATGCTAGTGTATCTCTGGTCATGCTTTTGGGTGCAAAGCAAATTGCTCTCTCTTCTCCCAGTGCTACTACACTGCAACCTGTTTTATGTGAGTTACGTTCTTTTAAGAAATTTGATGAATCTTTGGGATAGTATTGGAGTGAGGCAGGGTTAGACAGGTACATCTGTGTGTTGGTGGGGAAGAAGACTGCAAGAAGAGGAGGGGAAAGCTATAATAGACACAGGATACACATTCAGGAAGGAGTTGTGGAAACTCAGTCTAAAAACCTCCTCACTCCCTTTGTGTATCTGCAGTTCCATCACTGGGACGGATCCACCTGCATTACACTTGTCTCCCCAGATAAAGCTCTGGTTGAAACTTGTTCAACACTTAATCTTTCATGGGTGTTTTCCTCTCTTTTAAGCCATAAAGGAAGTATAGGGTAGTAATTGCAAACAGGATGATCACTGAGATTTTATTTGCAATATACTACTCTGAAAGGGTATATATAGTACACAAGCTTCTCCAGTTGAAATTAATTGATATAGTATAGCTTTATGCTTGAGTAGTTTATTACAACTTTAAAATATTTTTCTGGTGTTTCTCAAATTTAAAGCTCAAAAATGTGTACTGTATGGCTGTCATTCTACTCAAAATGCAGTAGTATCACTGTTCCTCTCAGTGCTGTTTAAAGGCAATATCAGGTAGATACTTTTAAAGTTGTTTCCATTGTTCTAGGCAGCATTAGCAACTCAAATAGTCTTGCCCTTCCATTTGGCAAGTGTCCACCTGCAGTGTTCTTAAAGGCATCATCTTCATTTCAGTTCAGTCTTTGAATAATTACATATCTGCCAGTACAACTTCATAGGATGCCTGTTCATGATATCAGTGCAACTTAGGTTTATCTCTATGTTACAGTTGACAATGGAGGCAAACAGGGGAACTGAACTAAACTAAACTGTTGTCATGTTGGAGCTGAACTTTTGTCTCTAAGCCACATCAAGTGACCCTTGCATTGCATAATAGGCTTTCTGAGAACTTATCCCATGCCTGGCAGTGCTATGCTAAGTTGCAGTGCTTTGCATAATAACATATGAATTGTTTCACACATCACAAGTGTGCCGGAAATAAGCTGCTCTGTAATCTCTGGGCTACTTTGTAGTAAGGTGTTTAACTACTTAAGTTGATACAGCATCCCAGGCTGTGTCCTTTTTTACTTCTTTCCACAATTTTTTTCTTGGAGTTGACAGCAGGATGTAAATGGTAGCACACAGATGAGTGGTGGTCTAGTGCTACATCCAGTTCTGGAGTTAGAAGGCATGAAACACAAAGCATCATTCTTCAACAGCTTGTTGATGTTGTACCTGAGGAGGGCATGAAGTGAAAGAAAGGCCAACTGTGCTTGTGTTTCTACAAAAGATTGACTGCTAACTCTGCTAACCAAACATAGTGTTTTGTCAAACTGCTTCATCACTCCAGTGTTTCACCAAAATGAAGGTGCCCCAAGGAGTATCTTACATGTACAGAGAATGTAGATGGACATATATGTACCCTACAGACAACTGTGAAGGTAGAGAAAGTTACTGTCTCCCAGTAAAATGAGTTGGGTTAACTTAAATGATTTAAAAGTAGATGGTTGTTATTTTGTCCTGTATTGAACTGGTGTAGGGAGTACTCACACAAATGGTTCTTTTGGCAGTCCTGAAGGAAACTGGCACAGAGGGTGGTTATGCATTTTTATCAGCTCAGCTGGGTCTGGAAGAGGTCATCTGCCTGAAATGAGCTGTAGTATTGAAAATATATTGTTACAATTTGGAGGGCTTTGTAATCAAGCATTTGAGCTGCAGCTCTGGACTGTGTTTTCTATACTGTCAATTTGTTCATTTTGACCTTCCAAGAATTAAGAACCAAGAAGGTAATTGTTTCTGGAATCTTAAGTGTGCAGGCACTCAAATTCAGTTAAAAACTATACTTAAACACAGATGTAGTGTATCTCTTTAATTTGTTGTGCATAAATTTCTGCCACCTCTTCTGTAATACACGTTTGTACTGCTATTAAGCAGTTGCAAAAAAAAATTTCAATAATAAAGGAACAGGTATGCAACTTATCAGTGCAACTTTTTTCTTTGTGAGTTAAAGGATGCGAGCTTTGACAGTAATTTCAAGGAAATGTACGGAGCTTGATAGCTTGACCTAGATTCCATATTAAAATGGAGCGTTGCACTATTTCCCTTCTGTCCCCTCTTCTATGGAGAAACTTCAAAGTCCACAGTTAAGGAGGAAATCTGCTGGTGTGTGTGTTTTTGTGTGTGGTGTGTTGTTTTTTTTGTTTACTTCTTCCCCTTCAAATGTTGTGCTTGTGTTCTAAACACTAAGGTTTGGATGAACAGCCACTCCCGAGACAAATTGCAAGTATAAACTAATGAGCTATATTCTAGACAAATTTTACTTCTTTCGGCATTATCCTCTCCTGGAGTTCAAAAATCCCATGTATTTCTCAAACACTAATATTATATGCCATGCTTTGTTTTAAAAAGGAAGCAAAGTTCTTGGCTCTCTGTTAATTCTGTGTTGCAAGAGTAGACACTTTAATTAAACTATTAACTAACATTAAAATTCTGATAACTAAATTTTCTTTGTTTAAAAAAAAAGGGGGGGGGGAGGAAGCAACCTGTGCTATCTATAATGGTTAGTAAATGTTCTCATACAGCTTATCGCATTTGACTATTCATACTACATTAATCTCCCATTTTTTTGGAACAGTATTGAAAAAGCTGCTGAAAATAGCATGATGATACTCTTTAAACAAATTGTAAATAGAGACTTCTTTAATGAAAAGTTACAGAATCTTCTAATGCCAGTGGACAATAATATAACTTCTGGAAACAGACTAGGGATTGTAACATAGTCTTTCTTTGCAAAGTCTTCCATGAGAACTAAGATGTTTTCTTCAAATCTTGCATGGTAGAGTTTAGACCCCTGAGAGTGACTTATGCACATTTAAAATATTAATAACTTCCAAATACATGTATTCAATATGTACAAAGACAAGACTAATAACAGCATCTGTACATTTGTGTGCATATTGTTAATGCTGTGAATATGGTGCTAAAGGTGTTTCCAATCACACAGCATTGAACTTAGAGTTCTCATCTTTCAAATAGCATCCATGCTTCAGTAGAGCTATTTTGGCACATAATTTTTTTTCTTCCTAGTCACAGTTGAAAAGTGGGAAAGCAGGCAGTAGCTACACAGTATTAGATAAAGTTCATAGTAGTGTTAAACCCATGGCTAGAGGAACAAGGTTACACATTTTGGATCCACGCCCATTGCATTGTTCTACCTTCCAAGAATACATGTGGACTCAAAAGGGTAGGAATGGCCCTGGCCTGTGTGCTGGCAGAAACCCTGCCGGGGCCTCTGTAAATAGGTAATTCTCTTTAAGTGCTTGTTAACATTCAGAGTTTATCTACAATGTGCATGCAGCCTGTATACTTGAGACTGGTGTCTTTGGAAAAAAAAAAAAGTGTTTAGTACGCAAGCATGGACAAGGCAACTCTGATTACTGTGACTTTCTATAGGACAAGAGGAATATAAAATAAAGCTGCGAGCTGCTAGTTCATATGAACCTGTAGCTGTTATACCTCAGATACTGAGCTGCAACTTTTTGATATACAAGTTTTGTCTTTGAAAACCAGAATCTACTTCAAATGCACTAGAAATTCTTTCTGAAACTTTACTTGATAGGATTTTTCATTTAATGCCCCTCTTTCCAAAGCCTGAACTTGGCAGATTTATTATGGGTCATCTACTAATTTGGTGCCTGAAGGGAGAAACCTGCTGCTGCAGGACTCATGGGCCAATCTGAACATGAAATGCATACAGATTTTCCAGTAAATGGGACAATACAGTAAGTATTTATTAGAGAACTGGATGTCATATTGTCCTTAGGGATTCAGTAATATATGGGATAATTGGAGGAAAATGTAGATCTGAGTTACTTTAAGATCCTACTTTCTATTCGATCCTGCTCAAATCCAATAGATTCCTTTTTGACTGTTTTTCCCACCTGTCATTGTATAAGTGGTTGGATGTACTGTAACGAAGAGATGATTGTCTTTCACAGAGGTATCTGGATGCGGTTGAGAATGTCTTTGGAAACATCCTACCTTAAGCACAGTGTAGAAAGCTGTGAATGGCAGTACCTTCTTGTGACTGTGATCTCTTTTTCAGGACAGTGTCCACATTCCACGCCTTGGTGGTTGGTGGGTTTTGCCTGTATATTTTGTTGTACGATGATGCTGTTAATGCTGACCGTCTCTGGTAAGGCATGTTACATCTATGTTGTGTTTACACAATAAAATAACATAACTGAGAAGGAAAAAATAATCCAGCAGTGTATTAATTACTGAAATAATTGTTTCATTTCCCATTAAAATATGCAGTTGTGATGTGTCCATTTTTATGTCTGTACTGTTTTATAATTCCAAATTATTTTGTCAGCATTAGTGTCCTAGTGCATTATGTCTCTGTGAAGTGGAATAGATAAAACACAAACAATTGATTTGAAATAGCATATTAAATTACTAAAGCATAGAACTAAGAGTGTAACTGTAAGTTGGCATGACTGAAACATGCTATTTACTATAATAACTTTAAAGTGAAATTGAAATGCTGTTGCAGGTCTGGAGTGTGTGTGTGTGAAAAAGCTGAAGGGGCCTATTATGTGTTTCAAATATATATGTCTAAATTGATAAATTAAGATATTTATATTTCTGCCTCCCATAAAGCTTCTATGAATCTTTGTTTTAAAAGAACTATGAAAGTTTGAAGTGCTCTCTTCACAAGCAATAAGAATATTTAATAAATGGACTTCTAATATTTTTCTCTAGTTAACAAAATATTCTATATTAAGCTTATCTTTTCTTGATTTCTAGTTATATTGTTTTGTTTCACACTTTTTTGAGTGAGGAGGAACAAGGTGGTTTTGTTTTAGTCAAGTTAATTATAGATTGGTGTCGGTGTTTTGACACTTCACTCGTTATCCTCTGTAACTCTTTCCTTATAGAAGGAAGAGGCCATATTTTTCCTGAAGATTAACTACTTTAAGTTTTGTTTCATATTTCTGTCATAGACTCTTGTTTTTAACCTTGTCAAAGGATCACACTGCGAGTCAGTTTAAACTTGCATAAACTTATCATCCGATGCTTGTTCTGCTCTTTTGATATTGTAAATTAATGACAACGCAGTGTGGACCAGACAGGACTGAATGCTTGAAGTGCTCTACCACTGACTTGTTATGTGCCTTTAATAAATGTAACGCTAATTCATAACACAAATGTAGGCAACATTGGCCTCTTCTGTATGTAGTGATACATGATTAAATTGTTGGCTGTTTTGGATGTTTTTCATTGCGTTCTTGTATCTTTAGGGAGACCAAATACAGTCTGCATATCATATGGGATCTGTTAACCATGTTGAAAAGCAGCACGTTATTATAACTCTCTCAGTGTGTGTTGTGGTAAGCTTTATCAGATAGAAGCTTTTATCCTGGTTTTTTTGAGTAGAACTTGTTCTCAACAGTACAAAAGAAGTAGTGAATGGCAGAAATAAAAGCTTCTTGGCGATGATAAATAAATTGAGTTTTCACGTTTACTAAATTTTCCTGGTATAGTTCCAGGAAAAATTCAAATTAAGCAGAAATCAAACCACTTTTTGTTCTTATGTTAGTTATGTTAGATATTTTTGTATACTGCATTGTAAACTTAATCTTGCTTATGGAGCCTTAGCATCCTAGATTATGTAAAAATATTAAATCTCAAAAGGCAAAATTCATCTGCCTTTGAGGGAATTTTTTTCTGTATTTCTATTATTGCTTCTAAATAGTGTCTTCTCTTTGGCTGTGTTTACAATTATTGCTATCAGTGGGTTTATTTACATTTGGTAGAGTAAGGAAGACTTTATATATATATTTAAAAATCTAGTGGAAGTATGTCTAATGTGTGTGTTTTAAATAAAAGCTGCAGGTTCATTTCATGGCAGTATTTCTGTAAATTGTTGCTAGGTCAAAATTATCTTAGTGGTTTCAGGAATTTGTCAATTAAAAGTCCACAGAACACACTATAGATGTTCCAATGATTTGAATTCATGTCCATGCAAGTGATTAAGTGCCATGGAAGACCAAACGTAATATTGCCCATGGCTTTACAAGTACTTGTATGTAGCCTGCAAGTAAAATACAACTTTGTGTTAGGCTTTCTTCTGCCAATGAAGCCAGAATTGTAGAGTGGTTTCCTCAGAATTTGCAGATGTACCTTTTCTTCTAAGGCTGACTTTCACATTTCTCTTAAAAATGAGATGGCTACCATTAGTCTATATATTCCCCTATGTCATCTTGATTCGCAGTACACAGTAATTAAAGCCTTAGCTGACCATGTAGAGGTTTAACTATTTTTTTTCCAATTTCTTTTATGGTTTAGCTGTACATTAAGTCTTAAGTTGCTTATAATTTTTACATTGATTAATAGCTGAATTCACATAGTCCTGATTTTAATTGACTAAGACTGAAGAGGAAAAAAACAAATGGTATGGGAAATGCCAGATGGACTGCCACAAGGCTGCTCAGTCTGGAAATTTAATGCCCTTTTGAAATGCAGGCATAAGCTGTGGGACTCGGTCATTTACAGATATGAAGGATGCATAAGGCTTTCTGTAGGGGTCTCTTATTAACAATACAAGAAACATTTATGAATCTAGTTTCAGTAGTTTGTAAGTAACTGTCCAGGAATCCTTCATGCAGCTTTCTTGCACTGTTCTAGCCCAGGTAGCCTGAAAACACTACACAGATGTTCTGATTTTAGACTACTGGGAAGCTTTTGACACAGACACTCTTGCTCTCTAGTTATTGTCACCATCTTTGTGTAGTCATTGACTGGATGACAGTATCCAATGAGTTCTTTTCTGTGGCATTTAAAGATATTTATATCTATAGTGAAAAATCAGAAGTTCTGAGCCTCTACGCATGTCAGCCGAACTTCTGTATTCACGTGAAGCTTAAATGCATGGTGATGATGATACCCATATGTTTTGAAAGCGATCAGGTCTTCTGCTAAGAGTTTGGGTTCAGTGGAGAGAGGATGTGGTATGACTGTCGGGTAATGCCTGAAACTAGGTACAATAGATCTAACAGACGATAATAAAGACCAGAGCATTGATAAGTTACAGGGAAGCATCGGCATTGTGTTTGTATACATTTTTTGATGGTCTAGGACTTCTCGTAACACTTTGCCTTTTTTCTATATGTAATGCAGACTAGCTAACATAGATGACGTAGAAATTGTTTTTGAGGTAGTGAGAATAACGTGGTAGAAAATGTAGAGGTGGTAGAGATTGGAGAAGGAGAGGAAGAGTATGTAAGTAAGTGAATTGAGTTGTAGCTTCACAGAAGAGCAGACTTTTTCATGTGACTGTCCATTTTACAATCATTACACTTTTTGAAGTCTGATGTTTGATTAGCAATTTCTATGACTCTGTATCTGCCAAATATCTGCAAAGTGTGAAGAAAGTCAGTCATGTGGACTTCTGTTTATCTGCCTATGCATGTTCACGTGTAACTCATTTGCTACACATACCTCCTTAGCAATCACAAAAGAGAGAGCTCTTCCCTTTTTCTTATTCAAGTCATTCCCTGTTTGTCACTTAGGCCTCTTGCATCAAAACTAGGCTGCAAACATCAGGGCTCATAAGCTTCACTGCATTTCCTGCTCAAGGAGATGGATCAGGAAATCTGGAAGATTTTAGACTAAATTCTAAGTTTTCCATTAATTGAGATTAATTTGGGATTCTTACATGGACTCTTGAAGGGACGTGACAGATGGGCAGTGCAGCCATATATATTGTTGAAGGGTTGGTTTAGAAAGTCTAGAGAAAGTTTGTTGCAAGACTACCATTCTCATGTAAAGAGTAAAGGGAAGTGAATCATTCCCTGTCTCATTCAGTTAAGTCATGTTTACCAACATCAAGGAACCAATTTCATATACTCAGTCTTTTGCATCTTCTCTGGAGAAGAATATGAAGGTTCTTGAGTGCAGGCTCAGTCTTGGTGGTGATGTGCTGAAGTGTGTTGGGAGCACTTACAAGTTTGGTTATGATGCTGCTGCAGCTGGCAGTTCTAATGGGAGGACTGTAACTATTTAAAGAGTTTCTGCTAAAGTTGTGAGAATACATGTGTCTATGTTTTGTATCTAGCTGTGACTTTCAGAAGACCTACACCTAAAGAAGCTCTCAGCCCACAACCCATGTAGCTCAGGAAACCAGATTTTGAAGCCATGGGAAAATGTTCCTGTCTCAAGTTAAGAGAGCCTCTATGGCAAATCTAAAGAGATGGAGTGAGCTCCAGGCTCTCCCAGTAATGTTTTTCCTCACCTAACGGCAGAATTCTGCTTTTGTGAGTCCTTCTGTTTTCCTATAAGCTACCCTCTCACTCAGGGAAGCAGTTAGTTTTAGATGCTAAGAAAGCCTTAAAATTTAGTGAACAGATTGTAATAATACAGGGAGTCCCTTCCACTGCTTTATTCCAATAGGATTAAAAAATAATAGCTAGGTAATAGCATTTTACGGCTTTCTAGCGGAAGTAGACTTTGTATTAGAGGTGGCTGTAAGCACAGTTATGTTCTTTTTTTCTGAAAAGGTTTACAAGAAAGATTGCTTTCACAGCTAGTCTTGAGCAGTCCACATTTTATGAATCTGTAGACCTGTCACTATTCATACTTACACAAAGCATATCTAGATTAGATGCCAAGCTTAGTTAAAAAAAAAAGTTATGATCTTTATGCTGAGGG